CCTGGGGTTGTAGAGCCCGTCGCCACGCGGAAGGGATGGGACGAAGCGCACACATAGCCACCACCGGTGTGGGCGGACGTAGATTTCCTGATCCGCTAAAGAGCAAACCTTCAGCGTCGCGCCCAAACCTCGGGGATGAGCTTGATGAAATACGTCGTCAAGAGGACATTTAGTGTTGTAGCTGCAGGGGCAAGCTTGTTGGGTCCGGGGTGGGCGGGAGTTGTTGATCCGCTCCGGAGAAAGCAGGGGGCATAAACTGCGTCGCAGAAGCCCTCGAGGAAATGCCAGTCTGTGACATTCCAGTTAGCTATGTAGGATAGCTGTGAGTTGCCTCCACCAGCGGAGTCATGCCTAGCGATACCGGGACATGCGCCGCCACTAGCACTACTAAAGGTGCTTCAATAAGGTGGGCTAACTCTATGGTGCTAGTGCTATATATTCTCCACTGCACTCTACCCGATGGGTCTCGCTGACGAGCCGAAGGCACAGCGGTGTAGTAACAGAAAGCGCGCCGAAGGCGCGGGACCTGTTTTGTTGATCAGCGCGCGCTGAACAACAAAAACAAGATAAGCTAACCAGCTTAATGCGCGCAATAAATGACGGCCCTGAGGACACGGGCCGTTGCGAAACAGTTAGTCTAACAGTTACGCATTGGGCCTTACGCCCAACTAACCCAGCTTACTTACGCAAGCTCGCATTGTTGTATGTCGAAAGATGTAAAGTCATTATTGCTAAGTAGGCTCAGACGGGTGAGTAGGCGAGATGAAAGACTCTTCTGACACTACTCGGAGCAATCTTTTTGTTCCCTATAATGCGGTCGCAGTAGGTGGTCAATTGGGACGAGTGGTAAATAAATATGATGATGGAGAGAATTTATTAGTAAGTTAGTTGAAGAGTTCATTACCGTAACCTTGAGTGACTTTGACCGCAACGACTCATTCATCAGTAAATCGAACGGGCTGCCGTCCTCTACCCATTCTACCTTTTTCTGCTGCTAGCCTCGGATGATGATTTCGCATATAGCAATCAGCAATCAGCAAACAGCGATCAGCGATGACATGAAGTGAACCAGGGTGAACCGGAGCCGCCCCCACTCAAGCTAGAGCCTGCAAACGTGCAATGAAATGAAAATTGAAGACGTGGATACGATGTTTGAGACTGGAGGCGCACGGGCACACCTAATACACAAAGGATGACTACTTGAAGCCACCAAGAGCACCAATTGCCCATACAGAATTAAGAAAATAAAGTTGTCAATAAAGTTATCAGTGCTGGAGCTGCTTACCTGACCCTGCGCAGCGCTCTGATTCCTTAAACCGGGTATGAATCCATAGATTTTGTTACTTGATGACATGTCTTTATAAAAGCATTTTGGACTTCAAGTCGTTAACATACGGAAAAAAAGTACACCTGGCGATGCTTTGTGTGAGCAAGGGACGAATCAAAGTACGACCATATAATCGCGTCCCAGCACCTGCGGGTACTTTGCCCGTAAATCAACATCATTTTTAATACTTCCGATTATTTCTCCAACGTCTTTGAGCTTTGTTACATAACAACAGCTAGTATCCTATAACAGCTTGTGTTGTCCTCGTTAGTGTATCTCCTCGTATCTGCGCCCCCGGACACGATGGCGGCTTCTGAAAGGGAGAGGAATGTCCCATCTGACTTCTGGGCTCAGACTGCAATCACATACGGGTGCGGATTCGGTTCGGGCGGTCGAATTGCAATTGCCGCTCGATGGACAGGTATTGTATTTGAGCCGCGATCGAAATTCTCTCACAGGTACATGGTCCTATGGATTTTCCTCTCAGCCGTTGTGATCATGGTCAACAAATTCGTCCTGGCATACGCCGGCTTCCCATTNCCAATCGCGCTCACCCTCACGCACATGGCTTTCTGCTCGGCGCTTGCCTTCATTATCGTTAAA